TCTTTCATCAAAATATATACGACAGTCGATTACTAGATGTTTCACAATATCATCCACATTTTGCTTGCACGAGTCACAGATACATTTTGTGATAGGTAGTGCTCCAAGTTTCACAAGAAATCCAAATTCTCTGCACATATCATCTAATTCAAAACACAGCAACCAGAGTTTGTGCGGGGCGATTCTTGGATGTATGGTTTGGAAGCGAGTAAGATCTGTTCGCCTTAACATACGCTGTTTCCATTCAAGTTCAGACGTCTCAGATACTGTTTTGTTCACAATATATTTCCAAGCAATTTTAGTAGGAAAGCAGCCGTATTTGATAAAACTATTCAGATATTCTTCAAGTCCGTATCTATAAACCGTAGTAATCAGTGTTCGAAAGATATCCGTGCATTCGAATAATCCAAAAATAAGCAATATTCCAATGTTAAAATTAAACAACTGTTTGTGTATTTTGGTGAAATCTGTCAAACACAGTCTTCCAAAAAACAATAATCGGTACTTATCTATGTAATGTTTTAGCCTACAAATACCAAGGGTTTCAATGGTACTTTCTGACGGGGAACTTTTGTCAAATCCTTGAAGGATTCGACAGCACTTCCGCTGGGTTACCTCAAGTTTGTCCAAACTTCACTCTCGTACTTCTCCCCAAGTCTCACACGCATACATGCCAGCGGGTAAGATGACACGTTTCCAGACAAGAGAAGACGCTATCGGATTAATTTCTCCAAACCGAAGACCCATATCTCGAAGAGAATGAAATGATCTTTGTAGTTTGTGACAAACCCTGTCCAGGCATTTATTTACAGGATTAGTATTAGATATGACAGTTCCTGCGTATATCACACTCTCCTTTGTTTCTATTGTATTTCCTCCCATAGAAAAGTCATATTTTGCAGACTGGTTTCGGTTATTGAATACGATGATAGCACTCTTGGACGCGTTATATTTCAATTGCCATTTAAAGGCATACATTCTTGAAATTTCGATTAAGTTTTGTAAGCCGTTCTTACTAGAGGATATCAGACAGGTGTCATCAGCAAGTAAGATACCAGGTATATGTCTATCCACAATGTTTATGCCACAGTTTGTTCCACATATAGCCTTCATCAATCCGTCAATATACAGTTTAAACATAAAAGCGCTGAGAACTTTTCCCTGACCGACACCGCGCGTCACGTGTACGAAGTCGCTTAGTTCTCCCTTTAGTCTAACACATACTTTTGTTTGCATGTAAGAGCTGAAGATAATTTTCCACATCCGGCCGCGTATACCAAGTTCATATATTTTCAAAAAGAGACCATTCAGCCATACCCTGTCAAACGCCTTCTCGTTATCTAAAAAAGCGATGTAGAGCGATGATTTCCTTTCGGTATAAAAGGATACTATTTCTTTTAACGTGAAGATTGCTGGGATCGCCCCCATGTTTTTTCTAAATCCAAACTGTAGAGAATGTGGAAAATCAACTTTGTTGTGTATAATCCATTTCTCTATCCTTTCCAGAAGTACTTTTTCAAAATAACTTACCGATGGAAGATTCAGAGTTATTCCGCGGTAACTTGTTGGGTCTGACGGATTTTTATTCCCACCTTTGAAAATTGGTATTACTATTCCCTCCTTAAACCTTTGTGGAACACATTCCATTGACAATACAATATTGAATATAACGCACAGTGATTTGACAAGGGTTCTTCCGCCATATTTAATATGTTCATTGCAGATTCCATCGAGCCCTGGAGACTTACCAGTTTTCAGTTTTCTTATTTGAAATTGTAGTTCATCTTCTGATATTTCCCCTTCAAGCACATTATCTACACAAAACAAGAATTGGAACGTAAAAGCTCTTGAATGGTGTCATCAACCTCAGCTTTAAATTGTACATCAAACAACTCCTCTGTATCCACTGACAATAAATACCGTAATACTGAGCCCAAAGGTTACACTTTGTCCGATATCCGTCGCCACCGTGTCTTTGTAGACGAGAGGTTTATCAATAGGCGTCTTGCCACGTTGTTTCCTAACAGTTTTATAAAACTCCTGAATATCTATTTCAGCCGAATTTATTAGTTCGTGTGTTTTTTCTTGTTCCATTTCTTTGTCGCATAGCGTTTTTGTTTTCCAAATTCTCGTTTTCTGTCCTTATATATTTGGTACATCACATTTATATAAATATACGTCCTTGGTTTTCCTTCCGCTATCCATAAACGTCTAGGATATGTACAAATTATAATGGTGATTATTAAGTTGATATTTTTTACGGTTTTAAACACGTCCTAAATGTCCCATTGAATGTTCTCTTCAGATGCTGATTCAAATGTTTATTATATTTTCAAGACGGTTTTCTAAATGACATATGTTTAATTGTGTACACTGATGGTCATCCATGGTGCTAGTTATTAGTGTATAGCAACTCATTCCACTTGGGTTATTACATATCAAGGTCAGCAGTGACATGGTCTAATCCACTTCGGGAATCCATTTGCCTTTTGTTTTTCTGTTCTGACATGGTGCTAGTTATTAGTGTATACACTGGGTCATGGTCATGTGACATGGTGCTAGTTATTAGTGTATACACTGGGTCATGGTCATGTGACATGGTGCTAGTTATAAGTGTATACACTTGGTCATGGTCATGTGACACGGTGCTAGTTATAAGTGTATACACTTGGTCATGGTCATGTGACATGGTGCTAATTATTAGTGTATACACTTGGTCATGGTCATGTGACATGTTGCTAGTTATAAGTGTATACACTTGGTCATGGTCATGTGACATGGTGCTAATTATTAGTGTATACACTAGGTCATGGTCATGTGACATGATGCTAGTTATTAGTGTATACAGTAGGTCAAGGTCAAAATCAACGAATTCATTTTTGAGACGTCATGATTTTAAAAGTTCTATAAGAGGAGGGCACTGAAATATCCAGCATTTAAACATGACAGTTGTTTTCTAAATATAAAATAAACAACCCTTAATGCCACAAGAATGAAAAAAACTATAATTAATGAGGTTAACAACATATACAAAATACCAGCTATACAAAGAATGAGAAAAAATGACCCGAAATTGTACCAAATCTTTGGTATTGTCTGATGAAAAACTGGCACTCCTCTCTCGAACATAATTCCAACGTTATGCCAAACTATTCTACAAAAATCCGCTAAAAGAGTTCAAATGATATCATAGTTTAAAAAATCAATATGGTTTCAATGTGCAAAATAATATTTTGTAGAATTAAAACAATTTGTTCTTAAAACTCATTACGCCATGTTTACATTTATGAAGGCATGTGTACATATATTAAGAACTCGAATTGTACACCAAGCATCAGGAGAGCGGTAACTATTTCAGCAATGATTCATACAATTTGTCAAGCACGCATTTGTATTCCATCTATTCTTATGGTGACACTTCAGAACTGGTTTAAACGAATAATCATATAAACAAAACATTCCAATCACCTCAGCAATAAAACTAGGGCTATCATGTTCACTCCTCTCAACCACACGATTCCATGTAACATACACTACAGTCTACATAATCATATATTGTGATCGTGGATCCCACTTCAATTCTAAGGACAGTAAAAAATAAAAGACAAAATTCTACATAAACATCCGTAACTATATCTACTTAAACCGCTTACGTAATCTTGCGTAATATTTGTCGATGCTGGAACATGCCACCCTTGTTAACACTCGCGTCCGTTGGCCACCAACTTCCGGAGCAAACGTGGAGCGAATCATATGAAAACTTCATATGAAATAATACAGTTTCTATCAAAAGTACATTTAAGGTAAAGCTGAACATATTGTCTATTGTTTAACTCTCTTTTTTTTAATTTCTTAAAGAAATATTTGATCAGTAGTCTTTCGGAGAGAGATCGGATTTTTATAGCCATATTGAATTTACAATATAAATGATCGTGGGCTAATATTGTCATTAATAAAATTGAATACAGAAATATATCAAATGAACCAGAATGGTTAAGTAAAGATAGAATTGAAAAAAAAAAATGAAAACATTATGATTCTTAATTCAAAATATCAATAGTATTTCTGGTTAGTGTTTAGAAAAGTGATATGATGCCATAATAAAATGCTTGATTATTTCAGACGAGGGAAATGTAATGAAGCAGTATTTATTGAAATATTAAGCAAAATTTTGAATTCTTAATTTTTTTTTCATTTGTGGATTATCCGGCGCTGACTTTTATGATTGGTGTTAAATGATTAATTTTGTATGTAACCCTATCCAAGGTCCACTGTACAGGCAAGTCAGTGCCTAGAACATACCAAACAAGGATAGTAATGTTTATATAGGAAGAAAAATTTGAAAAAGGATGAAAAAAAACCCCGAAAAAGTGATGGTTTTATAAACACATGAAGTCAATAACATATAAATAAAGTAATATATATTAAATTGTATAAAGATGCTCTTCTCTTCTTTGTATGATTTATGTTCAGAAATGCAACAGCTAAATCCGGACTGCACCTACAGATAGTACAGACATTATACTACATCAGCTGTAACTAAATGTACTACATCAGCTGTACATCAGCTGTAACTAAATGTACTACATCAGCTGTACATCAGCTGTACCTAAAGGTACTACATCAGCTGTACATCAGCTGTACCTAAAGGCACTACATCAGCTGTACCTAAAGGTACTACATCAGCTGTACATCAGCTGTACCTAAAGGTACTACATTAGCTGTACCTTAAGATACACATCAGCTGTACCTAAAGGTACTTCATCAGCTTACATCAGCTGTACCTAAATGTACTACATCAGCTGTACATCAACTGTACCTAAAGGTACTACATCAGCTGTACCTAAATGTACTACATCAGCTGTACATCAAATGTACCTAAAGGCACTACATCAGCTGTACCTAAATGTACTACATCAGCTGTACATCAGCTGTACCTAAATGTACTACATCAGCTTTACATCAGCTGTACCTAAAGGTACTACATTAGCTGTACCTAAAGATACACATCAGCTGTACCCAAAGGTACTTCATCAGCTTACATCAGCTGTACCTAAATGTACTACATCAGCTGTATATCAACTGTACCTAAAGGTACTACATCAGCTCTACATCAGCTGTACCTAAAGGTACTACATCAGCTCTACATCAGCTGTACCTAAAGGTACTACATCAGCTGTACCTAAAGATACACATCAGCTGTACCTAAAGATACACATCAGCTGTACCTAAAGGTACTTCATCAGCTTACATCAGCTGTACCTAAATGTACTAGTACAGCTGTATATCAGCTGTACCTAAAGGCACTACATCAGCTCTACATCAGCTGTACCTAAAGATACACATCAGCTGTACATCAGCTGTACCTAGTATTGAAATTGTACTACATCAGCTGTATGTTATTTGAATGGGCCTGGGTTTAGCAATGACAGTGCTTTCAGTATCGCTGAAATCGTAATGTGAGATAAAGTGCTCTCAAATGTGTTCTACGACTGCGAGAAAATTAGAAGTGAAACATCATTATTGTTTACATACTAGTTGAAGTACATATTGTGCAAGCACTGCAAACGATGTTTGATGTTTATTTCTTTTTTACAATTTATGCAGCGCTATATTGTCCAAAACACCCACCACTAAACACACGATCATCCTATTAATCTGACCCTCTTCCTAATTCCATCACATGACTCGCGTTTTATCGCCCAAAACTTTATGCTTTCTATAAGCCAGTAACGATTTAGTCACCAAACGCTTGAAGTCTTATTTACTATGAGGTATTACCGCCTTCTACATTCCTTAAGATACCAAAATACCTCATTTTTTTTTAAAAAAAGAAAGGTGTTATTAAGCTAATCAGATGACGCGTCTCTCTCACATGAGTCATATTAACCAATCAGACGACGCGTCTCTCTCACATGCGTCAAATCAGCGAATAAGAGGACGTGCCTTTCTCACATGAGTCCTATCAACAAATCAGATGAAATCTCTCTCATACCTCTAGGAAACAATCAACAAATACCCGTTCCTAGTACTTGATTGAGCGTAACAATTATACATATTGACACCGCGACAAGCAGGCTACATATGTTTGTTGACTTCGTAGCACCATTAATCGGATCAACTGGACATGGAATGTCGTAGCCCTGAACATCTTCGCAGACATCTTCCTCGTTACTTCCGTTCAGGACGTGTGTGTAGCGTACATATTCGTCGTTCTCGGCACGTATCCAGTTGGCGCCATATGGAGTGTTTGGTGAAGCACTCTCGAGCACAAACAATGCTAGGTTATAAAGACACCTGAAATATCACAAATATAAATGTTGTCAATGGGAAATATAACCGAGCATTGACTATACTGTTCGTTGAAGCTAAACAAATCCTATTACACAATGCCATCTTCTTAGACTTGATATCGCTTCCCTTTAAGACTCGCAATTATCTAATAATGATTGCTATTTAAGGATAGCAGAAGTTACAAAATTGCGTTAATGAATGGCAATATACAGAAAACAGATGAATGGACTACTTAATGTAACGATCACATCTGACTTTATATTGTAAAGTGTGGCTCTTCTCCTCCAATCAGGCTGGGCCTGTGTATTTGTTTGACACGTGTAAACAACGAACATTTTGTCCCCTTTGTTTCACTTGTGTTTCACCAGTTCTTTTTAGTTAAAACGCTTTGCAGACATAAGATATATAATAGCTACTATCAGCATTAACAAATCTAATTAAAGAACTGACTAACGGTTATCTCACTGTACACGTGTTTTTTCTCTTCCTTTTTTATGTGTTCTGATGTTTTAAACATTGAGCATTAACATTTAAATTCATAATGCTTGGATACGGTAAAGTTACAAAAGTAAATTTGTAATTTTTTTCTTTAAGCTGTTATATACCAAACCTTAGATACCGAAAGTAACCAATACTACAAACGTAGAAACGTTCCTAATATTGAACAACAATCTAATGCCATTTGAACAGAGCATGCGTGAAATGTTCACGTACCTTCCGGCTACAGACTCTGGACAATCTGATCCAACATATCTGTCCATATCAGCGACATTAAGACGTTTGTTCTGTTGATAGAGGAGGAAGAAGTAAGTATGAGTGGTGTTGTCAGGAGGAGCAGGACCCCTATAGGTCTGGACCGTATCTCCAAGCTCCACTGTCCCATTGGGAATGTTGATGACTTTCCAGTGTAGCAATGGTTCAGTGTCGGTCCCTACCAGAGGATTCGACACGTCCAGGTCTATCATGATTAGCGTGTATAGAGTGCCTGTAAAGATTAGTCATTACATCGACGTCAAATGGTAAACATATTAGAGGGAGTGAAGTTGCGCAAGACATATTTAAGACAGATCACTTCAATGTGTTATTTCCTTTCATTCTGACTTGTGGTGTCAATTACAAACTGATTGTTACAGAATTTGTTTTCTAAAAAATTGAAAAATGCAAGCCTATAAAAAATAAAAAAAGGATATCGTTGTCATTTCCAGGAGGTCAAAGTCCGACTAAGTAATTCCAAGAAAGTTAAGAAAAAGCGGAAGATATGTATCAAAATGCCATAAGAAGAACGTAGGTGTTGTGACACCGATAAAAAGAATTTCTCGTGCGAGTAATAAAAAAGAAGAAGGTTGTGTACTGTTGGAGAGACATAAAACCTTGTAGACTGATTGATGAAGGAAGGCTATATGTCTTTTTACAGGAAGTGTCTGCTTTCGGTTGGTTTCTTAACTTCAGTGGATCTACTTTAATTAGCATAGATTAAACCTTTCTTCAGAATTAACACACCGACAATAACAAGTACTGACTGGGCAGAATTACTCTTTAAATCTTAAAAGAAACAAATCGGTCGTGATAGAGCTTGTGTAGGAAGTGATGGAGGTATAGAATTTATACTCCTTGATCCTAGTGTCTGACCAAGACGGAAACCAGTGAAGCAAAGTTTGATTTAAAAATGAATAATCTGTTCAGAAGAAGTTAATAAATTATTTACTGGCAAAGAAGTGATGACAGCTGATGTAACAAACCAGCACCGCGCTACCAATTATTTCAAAATGTCTTGTTCCGGTGCATGTACTATTGCTCGTTATCATACATAAAGGCAGAGTCACAAAAAAGAGCATTTTGATTGGTTAAACAATATTTCTTAACAATGTATGGACGATTTTAGATACATGTACATAAATGTATTTCAATATTCTGTCAGTATCGTATATGTGCTACACTTGTAAAATTAATTCATCCCTTACAACGTAGCTTACGTTTCCGAAACAACTTTTTCCATGTCCTGTGCACAAGTATTTGTAAGTAGTGGCCAGTATCAATCTCCAAACTACTAATGTAAGTGAGCGTTTAGGCGAATGTGGAAGAAACAATGCACTCAAAAATGATATTATTCAAGTATTATCGCATTAACTTCATGAAATTTGAGACAGATCCATTCAGTACTTCTTAAGAAATAGGGATAACAATCTTTACTATGCGAAATCCAAGATGGCTGCATGTCGGCCATATTGTTTTTCTGATCAGTCCCAAACTCAAACAGGCACAACTAGAGATAAAGAAGGGCCTTTACATGGAATTTTAGAAATATATAGATAGAATTGTTAAAGAAACAATAACAAACTTTCAAAATCAAAATCCAAGATGGCCGCCCGTTGGCCATTCTTTCTTATCCGTTCAAAAATCAAACAGCCACAACTACGGATCAAGGGAAACACACACATGGAATTTGAAAAAAAAATAGTCTTGTCTGTTCTCAAGGAATAGCGGTAACAAAAATAGTTTACAGGTGGATCACAGACAACGGGCACAAGGGCAATTTGAATACGATGGTAAGCTAAAAAGGAAAGCATCCTAAAGAAAATAGGCCAAACGGGAAATAAAATGAGGCTTAACCTCTTTATCTACCAAAAATGAAATGAGAACCCTATATAAGTGTGACTGTAATTCTCAGAAACAGATGAGGCTTCTGTTTCCAGACGATGATTTGATAAAACCGACTTAGGACTGATAGCATAATAAAATTTATCTTACCGTCAAATGAGTAGGCATTCCTCAAATATGTTCTCTTGATGATTTCTACAGAGGGCACCACTGATGTTCTGACGTCACCACATTTCTGTAGAGTATCCTTAAGTGGATTCGGCTGGATGGTTTTAGCGCTGTAAAACATATTGACAGACGACTTTCAAAACATTGCTCGTTTCTGGACAGCCTTTAAAAGGTACACGATAAAGAGTCACTGAGGTTTAGAAACGAGTTGTAGACAGAAGAAATATTAATTTTGATAGTTAATGACACTAAAATTAGGAGATTATATAGCTAGATATGTTTAATTACACTAAGAGATGTGATGTCCAACATAATTGCTATCTGTAATGACGTGATATGTGACAAAATCAAGTGTTGTGAACATCAAAATGATATCAAAGATTTACTCAAAACGTCCTCATTTGTGAACCCTAGTAGAAATACATTGTCGGTCATGATATCAAATTGCTTTCCATTTCACAGTTATCATAACGAGGGCCATAACTTACGGAAACTCTTTCAGAAATCGTACAATAGTAATAATTTTAAATAACATTTGGAGTGTTCATAGCGACAAATCAAACCAGACGATATGGCAATTGTTGCTCCAAGAACTAACTGGGATTTAGATAACGTTTGAAAAATTACTGACTCGGTCCTGGCGTCCTTATCTAATTATACGGCCATCACATTCACATCGATCCTGTTAGTATTTTTTAAGACGCAAGGGTGACGTCATGGCGGAGCTATAACAAAATGTCAAATCACGAAGTGTTATAACGAGTATGGACGCCATTGTCACTTAACGTCAGTGGTCACCACGGGAAGACTTTCTTGTCAGAGTCGTTTTGCTCACATGTACATTTTTGACGTCAAGATAGGGAGACATTAGACACCAAGTCCATTGTAATGTCATTAATCTTTAGATACGTTCTTGTACATGTGTCTCGCAATGGCTGTTAAATCAAGCTCCTTGTTGTCTACAATTATAATGATTAAAATTGAATCAAACCATTTTTATGTGCCGATATGTATTTTTCAGCAAACGTATTCGAAGAGAAAGTAGCCAATCGGGATTTCAAGTACTTGGAACACGTGTACTTTACACGAAATTCTTGCACAATGAGTGGTGAAGTCTAAAATATGTCTACACATTCCTGTAGGCATAGACTGTACACGTGGAAGTCCTGAGAAAATATATAGTTACCTGTAGATATATTATGTACGTCCGGAAGTAAAGTCTAGAAAAGGCGTAGATTTACCTGAAGTAAAGTCTGTCCATACGGAGGAAAAGTCAAGAGAAGACGTCGATATTCTGTACGTCTGGAGGTAAAATCTAGAGAAGACATAGACTTAGTTGTAGGTATAGTCTGTACGTCTGGAGGTAAAATCTAGAGAAGACATAGACTTAGTTGTAGGTATATTCTGTACGTCTGGAGGTAAAGTCTAGAGAAGACATAGACTTAGTTGTAGGTATATTCTGTACGTCTGGAGGTAAAGTCTAGAGAAGACGTCGACTTACTTGAAGGTATATTCTGTACGTCTGGAGGTAAAATCTAGAGAAGACGTCGACTTACTTGAAGGTATATTCTGTACGTCTGGAGGTAAAATCTAGAGAAGACATAGACTTAGTTGTAGGTATAGTCTGTACGTCTGGAGGTAAAGTCTAGAGAAGACGTCGACTTACTTGAAGGTATAGTCTGCACGTCTGGAGGTAAAATCTAGAGAAGACATAGACTTACTTGTAGGTATAGTCTGTACGTCTGGAGGTAAAGTTTAGAGAAGACGTCGACTTACTTGAAGGTATAGTCTGTACATCTGGAGGTAAAATCTAGAGAAGACGTCGACTTAGTTGTAGGTATAGTCTGTACGTCTGGAGGTAAAGTCTAGAGAAGACGTCGACTTACTTGAAGGTATAGTCTACGTCTGTAGGTAAAGTCTAGAGAAGACGTCGACTTACTTGAAGGTATAGTCTACGTCTGTAGGTAAAGTCTAGAGAAGATGCAGACTTAGATATAGGCATTGTCGGTACAACAAAAGGTAAAGTCTAGAGAAGATATAGACTTACCTGTATATATGGTATGTAGACTAGGAATTAAAAATACTATAGAAGGTGTAAAATTACCTGAAGGTGTCTATATATCCGGAGCTAAAGTCTACAGAAGATGTTGACTTACCTGTAGGTGTAGGACGTACAACAAGAGATAAAGGACAGTTCCGGGGTGTTGTAAGTTATATCTAATGTCGCCTGTAGATGTATGAGATCCCTTTTGGCGAAGAAACGTTCCTCCTGCCACAAAGCTGTATAAAAAAACACGTAATATGACAAAAAGAAAGAAGACACACAATTATCGTTATGTCTATATTAGGAAACCTTCACATGAAAATAGTTCAATGCATACATGTATTTTTTCATTATTTTTCTTGTTATAAGGGAAGGAAACCCAATCCGTTTACATTATAGCATAATTCCTGCACGGCTGGCAGTTCATTGAATGCTAATACCAACTGACGTAGGAATGTTATACGATGATAAATATATCAGTTAAATATTTCTTAAGATTACCCTGTGTGTAGAGTAATGGGCAGTTGTTCAAGATTCTTTGATCCAGAAAAGATTGTAGGCTGTATCCGTCTGCGGAGGACAAAAACCAATTTAGTCCCACGGGTCCTGAAAAAAACGAAGATATTGTCACTTTAAAGGTTTTCTATAGATTTACAATTCCACACTAACGGAACTTTTAGTTGTAAGAAAACATCGTGTTTTCTTCTGTTATGACTTGTATGTGTTTCTTAAAGAAGAGGAAACCACTCAACGATGAGCTGTGACATTAATGTTGTGAAAAAGCTTGCAACCGACATCACATTTCGTTAAACGTGGTATACAATATAATGTATGTGATAGGGTATAAACATCGAACTGTAAAAATATATATTCTGATGATATTAAAGCGAAATAGGGCAAATATTTGTTCTTAAATGTTTGTCAAATGCAAACGGAAATAAAAAGACACGAATCGGATAAAATTCCACTGTAGTGCTAGCCAAATATACGATCAATTAAGAGACATTATGTAATTGTCTTTGTCAGTATAATATTGTCCCATATTTGGTGGTTAACTCTATTATGAGAGAAAGATTATACTATCAGGGACACAACATTTAAGGCAAATTAAATTCAAAGTGATATATTTGAATTGTAACAATTTACCATTGTATCATTTAAACTAAGCTTGTCCAACAGGGAACTTTCTGTTGTCACAGATTAGACAGTCTTTATAGAGATAAATATCATGTAAACTTCGTCTGTACAACAGATGACTATCTGTAGTCTGTACAACAGGGAACTATCTGTAGTATGTACAACAGGGAACTATCTGTAGTCTGTACAACAGGGAAGTATCTGTAGTCTGTACAACAGGGAACTATCTGTAGTCTGTACAACAGGGAACTATCTGTAGTCTGTACAACAGGGAACTATCTGTAGTCTGTACAACAGGGAACTATCTGTAGTCTATACAACAGGGAACTATCTGTAGTATGTACAACAGGGAACTATCTGTAGTCTATACAACAGGGAACTATCTGTAGTCTGTACAACAGGGAACTATCTGTAGTCTGTACAACAGGGAACTATCTGTAGTCTGTACAACAGGGAACTATCTGTAGTCTGTACAACAAGGAACTATCTGTAGTCTGTACAACAGGGAACTATCTGTAGTCTGTATGGGAACTATCTGTAGTCTGTACAACAGGGAACTATCTGTAGTCTGTACAACAGGGAACTATCTGTAGTCTGTACAACAGGGAACTATCTGTAGTCTGTACAACAGGGAACTATCTGTAGTCTGTACAACAGGGAACTATCTGTAGTCTATACAACAGGGAACTATCTGTAGTCTGTACAACAGGGAACTATCTGTAGTCTGTACAACAGGGAAGTATCTGTAGTCTGTACAACAGGGAACTATCTGTAGTCTATACAACAGGGAACTATCTGTAGTATGTACAACAGGGAACTATCTGTAGTCTATACAACAGGGAACTATCTGTAGTCTATACAACAGGGAACTATCTGTAGTCTATACAACAGGGAACTATCTGTAGTCTGTACAACAGGGAACTATCTGTAGTCTATACAACAGGGAACTATCTGTAGTCTATACAACAGGGAACTATCTGTAGTCTATACAACAGGGAACTATCTGTAGTCTATACAACAGGGAACTATCTGTAGTCTGTACAACAGGGAACTATCTGTAGTCTGTACAACAGGGAACTATCTGTAGTCTGTACAACAGGGAACTATCTGTAGTCTATACAACAGGGAACTATCTGTAGTCTGTACAACAGGGAACTATCTGTAGTCTGTACAACAGGGAACTATCTGTAGTCTGTACAACAGGGAACTATCTGTAGTCTGTACAACAGGGAACTATCTGTACAACAGGGAACTATCTGTAGTCTATACAACAGGGAACTATCTGTAGTCTGTACAACAGGGAACTATCTGTAGTCTGTACAACAGGGAACTATCTGTAGTCTATACAACAGGGAACTATCTGTAGTCTATACAACAGGGAACTATCTGTAGTCTGTACAACAGGGAACTATCTGTAGTCTATACAACAGGGAACTATCTGTAGTCTGTACAACAGGGAACTATCTGTAGTATGTACAACAGGGAACTATCTGTAGTCTGTACAACAGGGAACTATCTGTAGTCTGTACAACAGGGAAGTATCTGTAGTATGTACAACAGGGAACTATCTGTAGTCTGTACAACAGGGAACTATCTGTAGTCTATACAACAGGGAACTATCTGTAGTCTGTACAACAGGGAACTATCTGTAGTCTGTACAACAGGGAACTATCTGTAGTCTGTACAACAGGGAACTATCTGTAGTCTGTACAACAGGGAACTATCTGTAGTCTGTACAACAGGGAAGTATCTGTAGATGTACAACAGGGAACTATCTGTAGTATGTACAACAGGGAAGTATCTGTAGTCTGTACAACAGGGAACTATCTGTAGTCTGTACAACAGGGAACTATCTGTAGTCTGTACAACAGGGAACTATCTGTAGTCTGTACAACAGGGAACTATCTGTAGTATGTACAACAGGGAACTATCTGTAGTCTGTACAACAGGGAACTATCTGTAGTCTGTACAACAGGGAAGTATCTGTAGTCTGTACAACAGGGAAGTATCTGTAGTCTATACAACAGGGAACTATCTGTAGTATGTACAACAGGGAACTATCTGTAGTCTGTACAACAGGGAACTATCTGTAGTATGTACAACAGGGAACTATCTGTAGTATGTACAACAGGGAACTATCTGTAGTCTATACAACAGGGAACTATCTGTAGTATGTACAACAGGGAACTATCTGTAGTCTGTACAACAGGGAACTATCTGTAGTCTGTACAACAGGGAACTATCTGTAGTCTGTGTACAACAGGGAACTATCTGTAGTCTGTACAACAGGGAACTATCTGTAGTCTGTACAACAGGGAACTATCTGTAGTCTTTACAACAGGGAACTATCTGTAGTCTGTACAACAGGGAACTATCTGTAGTCTGTACAACAGGGAACTATCTGTAGTCTGTACAACAGGGAACTATCTGTAGTCTGTACAACAAGGAACTATCTGTAGTCTGTACAACAGGGAACTATCTGTAGTATGTACAACAGGGAACTATCTGTAGTCTGTACAACAGGGAACTATCTGTAGTATGTACAACAGGGAACTATCTGTAGTCTGTACAACAGGGAACTATCTGTAGTCTGTACAACAGGGAACTATCTGTAGTCTGTACAACAGGGAACTATCTGTAGTCTGTACAACAGGGAACTATCTGTAGTCTATACAACAGGGAACTATCTGTAGTCTGAACAACAGGGAACTATCTGTAGTCTGTACAACAGGGAACTATCTGTAGTCTGAACAACAGGGAACTATCTGTAGTCTGTACAACAGGGAACTATCTGTAGTCTGAACAACAGGGAACTATCTGTAGTCTGTACAACAGGGAACTATCTGTAGTCTGTAAAACAGGGAACTATCTGTAGTCTGAACAACAGGGAACTGTCTGTAGTCTGTACAACAGGGAACTATCTGTAGTCTGTACAACAGGGAACTATCTGTAGTCTGAACAACAGGGAACTATCTGTAGTCTGTACAACAGGGAACTATCTGTAGTCTGTAAAACAGGGAACTATGTAAGTCTATACAACAGTCAACAGGGAACTATCTGTAGTCTATACAACAGGGAACTATACAAACAGGGAACTATCTGTAGTCTGTACAACAGGGAACTATCTGTAGTCTATGTAGTCTACAACAGGGAACTATCTGTAGTCTGTACAACAGGGAACTATCTGTAGTCTGTACAACAGGGAACTATCTGTAGTCTGTACAACAGGGAACTGTCTGTAGTCTATACAACAGGGAACTATCTGTAGTCTGTACAACAGGGAAGTATCTGTAAGTCTGTACAACAGGGAACTATCTGTAGATGTACAACAGGGAACTATCTGTAGTCTATACAACAGGGAACTATCTGTAGTCTATACAACAGGGAACTATCTGTAGTCTGTACAACAGGGAACTATCTGTAGTCTGTACAACAGGGAACTATCTGTAGTCTGTACAACAGGGAACTATCTGTAGTCTGTAAAACAGGGAACTATCTGTAAGTCTGTACAACAGGGAACTATCTGTAGTCTATACAACAGGGAACTATCTGTAGTCTGTACAACAGGAACAGTCTTTAGTCTGTACAACAGGGAACTATCTGTCACCCCAGAGATTAGTCGATTTGATGATAAGGATTAAATAAAGATGTTCTATATGCTACGGCACCAGAAAGTACTTCCCGTTTTATTTAGCATAAACTCCTGTTTACTTATGGCTTAATACCAAAACTAATTAATTTGGTTTTACCCGTTGTTAGCTTCGCTTTGCTATAGTTATTCACAGATAATCAATGGAAGTAGGATTGTTTGCCCAGGTCAAACGATCCTCCATACTCCATAAAAATGTATAAAACCAAAGAATGAGAAGTATATCAAACATGTCGTGTACATCGTGTTAGTGCATTTTAAAGTTCATGTGGCGACGGAGATCCTGAAACGTCTTATACACTTATAAGATTTATAACTGTTTACGTGTGCAGGTTTCTGTCATTCCTCGTGCTGCTAAATTGATCAAGGGTTTTTTATCATCGATCTTCTTATCGGCATTTGTTTTCTTTTTTCTTAAAATTTGACTCGAAATGTACGACAACAGGCTATCGCCAAATTACTTAAAATAGCAAATAGAAATTTATTCACCCGCTTTGGGAAATTTGTGTATGTACACTGGTTTGGTTATCAGAATATACTTAGACTAAACAATCTATTTTTCGTATTGTTCCAGCTACTACAGTCTCCTGTATCTAATTAAAAACAGTGCCAAGAATATAATATTTTGATGATTTTTTTATGTTAAATAATGTAAAACGGACTTACTATAGAGTACACAACTTGAGATGTTACGCTGATAAGATAGTTTTATTACAAATAACGTTGTTTACATATGAATAGATTTAGAATATTTTCATTGGCTAGTGGTTAATTCTTTCCCATTTATTTATTGATTTCGTAACTTTTCCTTCTTTCGAAACCAGCGGGGAAAAAAAAAAAAAAAAACAATTTCCTGTCATGTCATGGAATTTGAACATTAATATCTTTTTGAAAGAGTAGAATTTTGAAAACACCAATTTCCAATTTGCTTATAGAAAAAACAAATAGATATGTACGAAATGTTAGAGGTGATGATGACATGTTTGGGACAAGTTGTTTTCTCTATCAGAACCACATATCACGACTGAAAAAGCATCTGTCAATCTCATCTGGTCATGATCTGTCGTCAGGTCGTATTTATTGTTGATATGAATGAAGAACTTAACTCAGTTTATATGTAAACAAAATTGTATTTATATTGACAATAAATACAATGTGACAACTGTTCAATAGTTACATTCACATTTAAGATATTATCGTGTTTATTTGTTAAGGCATCCATCTACCTGTTTGTTTACTGTATATCATAATCATCTAATGATTTACGGGACTGAATTTCTTAGACGGCCTGCAGCGTAACGGAAGTCAACAAGATAAAACAATGGCGTCATATTATCGTTATATCATCAGAGATTTATGTATACTCCTGTTAATAGATTGCAGATCAGTAATGAGTAAATTAATGATAGCCATTGACGTAACATAACTATAAACCTCACCAGTGAGCTGGAAGTCTCGTATGACGTCAGTTAGGTTAAAGAACGACATCGGAGCGGTCAACTTGGCGAGCCACTCATCGCTCACGTTAACACGACCTTCTTGCTCGAACAGCCAAAACGTGTAGACGTTTGGTTTGCCCCCGACAGTCAGAGGACCTCTGTACGCCTTGATAGTCTGTAAAACAATACAGTGTTACAAGCAAGATGGTATAATTCATACATCATACAATTCGATTTTGAAATTAATTTTTCGTTACTTAAAACCATTTGAACTTTGAGATCAATTTAATTTTAGTACTGTACTGTTTTATCAACAGCAATATTATAAAAAAAAACATTTCTCCACCAATGAATTGTTTAGAACGTTGCACGTGCTCCTACCTCGGCAACAGAGAGGTCCCCTCCCTCTATGTTGATAAACACACCGTGTACGATATGACTACCAACGTCGTAGATGAACAACGTGTACATTTTCCCCGCATCTGCTTCCCACGTGATGGATGGCTGCATGCGGGCCTCCCAAGGATAATACACCTCATCCGAGAGAGCATCGACAGTAAATTCTTTCTGTTCTGTTGTCCACGTGTTACCACAACCGGAATAGCTACCTGTGGGATATTTTAAATGGTTTGTTGAGTTGAATGAACAACAAAAGAGCAGAAGAAATGAATATATAAACATCATGTTGGTACTAACGATTACAATAAATAAATAAAGTGAGGGTAACGAGTAAATCCTCAACCAAAATAATGGCACGTGTTCAAAATGAGAATTAGGGTAGTAACATCGACATCATCAGGTATGCTAACGGGTAACGAGCACACTGAACTGAATGTTGAACAGAGAATAAAAAGGACATAAATTATTAGTCAACAGGTGGATTTTTTTTTAGTATCAATTCATTTTCCTTTTATAACACAAACCTGCAAGTAGAAAACGAAAGAAAAAGGAAGAAACCATTAGATGAATCGAGATTAGAAAATAGCATGGGATTTCCGTAATATCTTATACGCAATGCATGTAACTGCTTACATATAACTTGACGAAATGCTGTTTCACATTTTGTAAATGGTTTTCCCTAATGTTCTGTAATATGATGTGTACTTAATGCTAATATTGTGATATCATTTCAAAGAGAACGTACCAAGTAAGTTAATGGTTAATCAATGTCTTTCTGACAACATATTGTGATACTATTCTTATCGGAACTCCTGAGCCCAATAGCCTAAGGTTTTACGTGACAGGGATAACGTGAATCATACAAACTGGACTATACCCTTTTGTGGTTAATTGATTTATCCCGAAAAACTAAATCAATGTGAAATATTTTTGTTAGAGATTTATGATATCATAGAGTCACACAATGAATATAAATGGATCATACAGTTGTTTAATCTCTCTGGAACTGGTCAGTGGGCCTTATCGCGAAACCTAGGAAGTCAAAATTGGTTCGATATTGCATAATGAAAATGAAAACACAATACTAAGCGCCCCTCCCCATTTTTCGATTCCTTTTGGGTTTTTTCTATCAACCACCTCTTCGGTTTTTAATTCTGGCACTTAGTGACGAGTCTTAGAATGATAAACCAGCCGTATGATGAAGCTTAATTCATTATTTGGTTCTACTGTATCTTATACTAGAATTGTATTGAAAAGTGCTATTCACTAGTGGGTCTTTTGTACAATCTTTAATTGTTGAAGATGTCTTTCTGTAGGAAAAACATTAAGCATTTTCTACAAAACGTTATCAATCGATCATAAGGTAAGGAAGGCGAACATACAAACACTCATCCCAAATGCTGGAAATTGCCGTTTTATCGACCCGATTTTCAATGACTCCGTAAAACGTAAGTATTTAGATGTAATTGTATTGAAGAATGGTCCCATCTCGACAGCTAAGGCTGCACGAGATAAAGCAAATACCGAAATTGCAATAGTTTTGACATGTACCTAAAAGAAGTCTTTTTGTATTTTATCATTGTTACTTCAAGCTCAGTGCCTTTTTAATGACTCTAACTGTGGGCGAAAATACCCAATCCTTGGTTTACTGCTAAAGATGGAAAGGTTTAAATTGCAGAAAAAAATCCTGGCGACTTCTACTTGGTATGATAATGGTTTTTCTCTGTTATTTTGTCCTTTCTTAATTTCCTCTTGTCTATTTTTCAGAAAAAAATATACAAGAAATAACATAGTTTTTCTTCGTTTGAAATTGCAACTTAAAACGTATGATAAAGCAAGCTGCCATTTCGTAAACACGTAATCAACAGTAAGCGACATGTAATTGAGTTTCTCGGGGTCGGGTAATCCTCTGAGTAATACACAGATTTAAACCAACATCTAAAAGGTGTGGTTGTAATCGTTTCTTCTGCGTTACCTGACACATCTGCAGACTGTGTTTATTACTTCAGGCGCAATATTCCGCCACTGTCAATAGTACAAACGATTGTTGTTAATATCATATATCAAAACACGCACAAAATGCCTGCATATACCACGGTAATCTGTAGTTCCCCAGTTGACCATTTTAAAGGTAATATAGCGCTTGGGCTGATACGTCGTCCTCGTGCTGCGTATGATAAATGATAGTAACTGGGCATACATATTTGTAAAGCTATAGTAGACATGCCTAGAGACTTTACCGCAAGTATCCGTGTATTTACGATCTATTCATTTCCCGTTGTAGTACTTTTAAAAACATATTCGTGACATAACCTATACTTCATCCGCAGATATTACCACGTGACATTAATGTCACTTTCAATGATTCGTTATGCTGCATGGCTGTGCCTTCACGCATCTGTTTGTTACGTGACAACTCGGGGTACCCATACACCGTCATAAAAGATGAAACATGGAATAAAGTCAGTAAAAAACCAAACAAAACTATTGTGAAGGTGACTGTATTCCATTTAAGCTTTAAACGAGTTTTTCTTTCATAACTCTAGGAAACTGGATAATGGATAGATATTGATAATTGTGTCTTTTTGGCGTGCGAATGTTATTACTATTATCACTTGACGGGATAAGGAAACGGTTTAAAATAATACGACATCAAATAAAAGACAAAAAAAAAAAAAAAAAAACTCCGAAAACTCAAACAAAAATAAACCAAAAAACAAACAATCAATACCCCATGCAATAAGCCATACCTTGGTAAATTAACCATTCGTGTTATGTTATTGAAATTATCTCTGATTGGAAGTGAGTTAATTGAGTTTAATACACTGTATTTTACTGTAAATGAAACATGACCTACTGAACTCTGTCTGGTCTTCGATTTTCAATATGTATGGATCTGTAAATATAATTAAGTATGACCCTTTCGAACACGGTCTTGGACGACCTCGTCAAACAACTGATGTTTATATATCTTAATGTAAATAGTTTTAGCTTCCAGAATTTCAGGTTTAATGCAGACTTGATCACGTCGTCCATATCAAACTTAATTGATTATATATTTACACCTGGCCACGAAATCGTGAAACAGACTGCCTTTTTCATGATCCTGTGAGTTTCACTTCATAATCCTGTGACAACTGCATACAGCAAAAAATAAAATTTTTAGTAAAGGAAAATATTTGACTGGTGAAGTGTCATTACAAAATGTTTTCAAGCACGAGTGATCAACAGGCATCATATATACATCACATATACAGTGAAACATGAACCCAAAGGATGGATATGACATTTAAACTAGTACAATGTTCATGCTGAGTTGCTGTGAAAAAAGGACAACACTTTACGAATCACATTGCTTTTGTTAATACATGTTGAATTTAATGATAAAATTCAAAACAAATATCACCCATAGTTGGTATTTCGTTCAATGAAGGGAACATTATCAATGGTCTCCTCGCGCTCAACACATTTTATCGTAGCTTCATGAGCTCAGAAAATCGATGATTTTTACAAATTTGAACATCACTCTGTTCCTGCTATTTGAGACATCATCTTGTTTTGTATGAACGTCACCAAAAAGCATAAGTCATACATGTAATGTTTGGAAAGGCGGACACGTTAATATATAACGAGATATTTGTGTTCCGCGCGATATATTTTACAACTGGTGTTTGAATATTTTTAAACAAGCATTATTGATGTCAGCTTGTTTTTTTTGCTGAGAATGTTAACGACTTTGTAATATTTACGGGACGCGCTAGCGAGCTTTGTCAGACTTATCTATATGTTTTACACAGAGAAGTTATAATATGATATATTCTAATACTACAGCATAAAATGTATTCACTTTCTGTAAGAGTTAAGGAAGTTATGATCTGTCTGGAAATATGAAAAAAATGACAGATGTATGTAGAGTAAATATTACGACTTACTGGGAATAGAGGCGCTCGCGTTACCGTTTTATGCCTCTCCGAGATAGACATGTTTCGAACGCTAAAACGACAGTATAAGTACTGTGGAGTACTTACATTATTACAGGACTTTATATATATATGTATGGATTAAGTGCCTGGGTCGTGTGCATTATTACACAAGGTGGTACTTAAATGGTTGATAATTTGTCTCATTTCATCCTTTATAACCCAAAAGCCATCAGTGCTCTTTTAACAGTGTCTATGTTTTCCCCCATTTTCAGACTTTTAGTCACTTTTTTGAAATCTCAAAATAGTCATAACAATTTCGACTTAGCCAGCGCCTCAAATCGAATGATATGCGGCATCCCAAGACACAGTTTAAGGATGTATGATGCCAAAACTTTTAAATATATCTTTTGTTCTGGCGATAAAATTTGAAAAGTAAGACGGCATAGGGTAACTAAAAAGATGTCGCCTCCGTTCTTTTACCACTTAAGGTGTCAGAATACGTGTTATAGGAAATATGCATTTTCGCTTATTTTTTCAGTTTTTCGAGATTACCAAAAAGTTTTTTTTCATTAAAAAGCAATAAAATGATATTGGATAATAAGCTATCTCAAAATGCTAATTTTCAATTTGATTTGCAGCCGCGAATTTCCATAGCAACCGAAAAATGTAAATTTCGAATAATTACTTAAATGCTTTATTTTCCAAAACTGACATGTAACCTTTTTCAAGACTTCATACTTTGATAGAAAAATGATGTATGAAAATATTTTTTATGATAAAAAGAAAGGGTCACTGTGCTTAGAATATTAATTTTTTTTCTTGCATCATTAAACAGGCAGAAATATTTCTATTACATTTACACAACGGCTTATTAAGCGCTCCACTTCTGGCAAAAAGAGAACAACTTTTGATAACAAAGAAAACAACGACGAACGACGTAACGCAAACGTTAATAGAAAAGTGAAATGATATCAAATTGGAATTTGTTTTATATCGATTTATGTCCGATCAAAGATGATATTAAGATATCCTTAAGTGAACCCGTATCACTCCTTATACGTCTGTGTAACATTGAATACTGACGATAATCGCAGGTTTAGTTTAGATTCGTTGATAGGGTTGGATTATTCGTTGGCTTTCATTTTAATCCAACATACAAAGTACTTATTCAGTATTCAAAGTAGGCAGAAATAATTAAAACTTGTTTAAATTCAAAACACATTTAGTGTCTTTGGATTAGTGTAGAAACCAGCATTAAAATGCTGGGAGCTCATTTCAAAAGGGATAAGGGATGTGTTTGCAGCATGTGAAAGTATGGGCGATACTCTCGAAAGGTCATAAGAAAACGTAAAGTTCAGGAAAGCTAAAAGAAGCAAAGAATGATATTCTTTCGTCTCGAAAATGAAACAAAAAATCTGATATAACATGTTTTCGTTACCGAGGACATTCAACTGGCAGGTTAAGATATCAACTAACAAATAATGATAAGGAAAACAACGGAAAGTTGAGGCAAACAGACCGAAGTCGTGTGTTTTTTGTTCACTTTCCAATAGGTAGCTGCTTTAGTTTCAATTTCAGTGTGAGTAGTATAATCTAACCGTATATGGATCTAAGGTAAATAAAAGTTTCCAGTCAAATGTGTGCCAAGTGACTTCTAATACATTACAAAAGATTATAAAGTTTCTCTTAGGTTCGAAACCAGTACTTCCGTAAATATTGGTCTGGTATTAACGTCGTTTGGTGCCTTTTTTCATTTCGGTTCTAGGAATCTAATTGATCTAGAAAAGGTCTTTACATCCTCCGCCCCAACTAAAAAAAATCAAAACAAAACAAAACAAGATACTTGTCAACTGCTCTACTTACCGGCAGGAGAAGTGAAGTTGATGTTGATGTATTTTTTAACGAGATTGGCGTCTATGCCGACTGAGAAAAAGATTCGGGATACGATGCTATCCTCTACCCCCGGGGAGGAATTCGCACAGCCAAGTGGTAGTATTTCAGGAGCTGGGCAAAAAGTTCGGTAGAGACTTCCAAACCAGAACAGATCCTTGTTCACAGCCCTGGATAAAATTTGCACTAGACAGCCCTGGAGGTCTGTTGTCCTGTTGGCTCGGGAACACGCTGTATCGCCGCTCACTGTGAATAAATTTAGACATTTTCAGACACGTATAATGATACTGGAATAAGAATCAGTTTGTCTCAATTTTATCATAAAAGTGCGAACTCAACTAATGTGATTGTTGAAAATATCAACACAATGGAATGATATCCTTACAGAAAAACCAATGGAACCAAAACAGAAAGTTTAGAGCGAAATAATTCAATAATCACAATCATCACAACTCGTTGTTAAATGGCTCTAAAATGTTTCATGTCGTCCATCATGAAGACGAATACTGCAGACAAGGACAGTGTCAGACATACTGGGTTTGTGTTTCTAACTTTAACTGAAGTCGTGTTTATGATGTATATTGACGCTAAAATTGTTGAACAAAGTTTTGGTATCGATTTAGCTCTTTCAAAGTCCTGAAACGCAAAACATCAATGTGGGGCATGTGTCCATGGAAACAGGGACTGCAAAAATGACCTTCACAGTAGTAGTTCGAAGACTTCATCAGAAATAGACGTTCTATGTCCCTATTTGCATGACACAGAAGAAAATCCATGAATCTGCAGTGACAGGAATCGGAGTGCGCCATTGAGTTAATTTACGTAAACTTGTGTGTCATGAATTGAAACGCATCTAAACTTCTTACACCAAAACTTACGTTGTATGAGTAAAAAAACAATGATGATGTATCAGATTGCGCCACATATAAGAAAACGTAATATGTTTTACAAGCTGAAGAGTGCTATAGAGCGCAAGTCCCAAATGAAAAAGCGTCTCCTAAATTGTAAACATTTATGTCAGCAAATTGAGAGCGTTGTTGAGTGCCCTTCTCGGACTGTTAACTAGATTACTAGTTTTATATCAACATCTGCAATGAATTTGAAAAAAAAAAAAATTAGTGAGATGTCAGACAGAAACATTTCACATCCATCATGTTCTTTTGGGACTAACTTAACCAACTTAGCACTGTGATCACAGAAGGTCTGTTTTTGCCAGACATGTTTCAAAGTTCAATATCTTCAAATTCAATTACCCTTTCTTGATTATGGAGGTACGTTGAGGACTGGGAGTCAGACTTGTGCGGGGTAAAGATAGTTGTGACTTAGTGAGTTGCCCTCTAATACAATTTCCATATTTACGATTGTGACACGTTTGGAGAAGACCCTTGTCATTCCAGACAGTTTTTTTTACTGTAATGCAATCTATAACGGGTTTGGATGTCTACAAAATACATGTAACCGCTTCTTGCTTCACCACAGAGGTCGAATTATTTCCTCTCAATCATCAATAACCATTTTCTTTTCCTTATTTTTTTTAATATCCCGCTATATGAATCAAAGACCCAAAGTGACGTCAAGATCACGTATATAAGGATCATCAATTGGAAAATACCACAATAACAGAAAACAACACATATGATACGATTTTAGACCAGGTGTCAGTCATTGTATCCATGCATCAGGTGCCGTAGCCGTTTCATTACACTAAATCACTTATCGCGTTACATGTAAGTGAAACATTGAAATTACCTGTGTTTTCCAAACAATTTACTTTTCCAAACTTTAGATATTCTTAGCAGTCTAAATATGATGATATGCAAACGATCATGTTTTGAAACAGTATTAGGTAAATTCGATTTGAAAGTGTTGATATTTTTCAGACGATGCTCGTCGGTGTTTTCAATAAGAAGATAATTCTGTTATACATGACTGTATAAACCAGTCAACCCCCGGGTCGGGAAACCTCTCTACAGACATGCTCTGAACCAACACTCACTAACTAAATAATAAACGAATCAGTTATCGGACTCTTTCTCCGGACAATCAAAGACTCCGATAAATTGACGAAATATTAGATAAAATAACGGGACGGTGCCCTGGTGATATAATTAACCATTAGACAAGTTATAAATACATATTACGTTTGGTACGTTTGTGTAACTATGCTCAGAGTGGTAGGAGATAATTCCAGGAGGCGGGTACCAGTCAGAAAGGGTTTTATGTGGTAATTGTATAGAACTATCCTTTGCGGTGTCTGGTCGAATCGACAAGGCCGTTGTTGAACCCATGGTCAGCTTCAATGGTGTTTAAAATATACATTCACTGGATTTTGTTTTCTACGTTCTTTTTCTGTTTATTCTTTCCTCAAATGTCAATATTGTGCTAACTATTTTTGTCATTATTGCAGATGTTAGACACTGCTGGTGAACTTAGGTCTGCTGTTATGTTACGTCCTACTCTATTTTCATAGTGACACAGATATGAATATACTTTTGAAACAGTTTGAAATGACCTTATCCTGCGGTAAATGCACCTGGATTTCGATATTTCTCTGACCAATGTTGATATTCCTTAGTGACCTACTTAGTTTTACGATTTAGGTCCCTGGCATCACTGACGAGTTCTATAAGGATGAAACAGCTGTATACTTTTCTACTTTGCTACACTGTAGTTAATTCTAAATTTGCATTGAAATGTGATAATTACTTGTGTGCCTTTTGTACAATTTAATAGAATGCATCTGAATCCCCTCCCTTAAATATACGTTCTGGCATGTAAACTACTTGACAGCGGTATATAAATGTAAAATTATTGAATAATACAAAGTTTGACATGCCATACTAATATGATAATAAAGCTTGTATATAGTGTGTATATATTTTTATGTCTGGTATCTTTCCATATCTTTTAAACACGCCCGTTCTATCTAGTGTAGAACCTAACTACGGCCCACCCTTGCGAGACTTAATGTGCGCGTTTGATTTTCCACATATTCCGATATGTTCTCCGCCAGACATGTACCGAAAATTTACTGTAAATACAGGGCTTCCTAAAAGTGCTAGTCCATCGTTTTCGTACATGTTGTCAATCTATGTAGTAGATATATCGCACGAGCTCGTCACGTTCTGTATCATTATACCATGAACTATGTTTTCCTTGTATGGGTTCGAAATCGGCTTCCATTTGGGTATCAAAATCTCGTTTTTCTCTAGAAGCTGTACATCCCACGAAGCCAAAGGAAACAGAGAGAATGCTCGGAGGAATTACACGGAGAGTGTTAGCCAGTTGATATTCCATGTCATATTGGCTTCACATCTCTGCTAACTGGATTGGATAAATACATATATACATAATACTTGCTTAAACGATTTTGAATCCATATCTAGACGCATTAATGCTCTACTCCAACATGTTCCTATCTTGTTCATGTCACACAGAAAGCAGACGGGTAAATGAAGGACGATACTCAGCCTATTGTATAACACTATTTGTATAAACCCTAGAGAATCGACAGAAGTAGTTGACATCGATTTTTTACTCAAATGTATAAAACGACTTTTTGACAGCGATAAAGTGGCCTCCCTACAGTACAATGTATTTGGTGTTACATCTGACATTCCATCTTTTTCCGTTTTGTCGCTGACGAGAACACATATCCGACACAGAAATATAATGACATAACGAAAAGTCACAAAGCAACAAACTTCTTTTTTTTCCTGCTGCGTCCAACAAAGAAACCGAACTGAAATTCTGAAAGTAAAACTGAAATTCTGGAGGTCAAACTGAAATTCTAAAAGGTCAAAGTGAAAACTGTTATAAATCAAGATGAATAAACTGAGGGAATGACAGACAGTATATACGTAGACCACTGAAGAGAACAAGGAGACAATGAATTTGTTTCTACTTTGTAAGGAGATTTTAAAAAGAACGAAACAATGGATGTCGCTACGATTTTACGTCATTTTTTTCTTTATTGTAATGTATTTGACGTATACAGTAACTTACTATAGTCTGGAGGTTATTATAGAATATATACGACAGTCGATGTTACAAAAACGATTATGTGGAAAGACATCAGTCGTTATGGCGACAGTTCATAACACAGTAGTGACGCAATTAGAACCTTGAATACCTAAGGACAACTACCAGGCATCATAGTCCATGTGACTCTTCGCTTTGAGAGTTAATGGTGAAATAAATGACATCATCATACATATCCTATTTGTTTGAATTTCTTATACTACAAACTAGACACCACTAAAGAGATTAAAGACACTTTAGACCGTTATATAACGTTACAATAGATAATATAACATTCCGACTATAATAAGTTAGGACACAAATCAACAGATAATTAAATATATCCATTGTTCTACAACAGGTGCGTCAACATCTCCATTTTCTATCGCACAATATTCCTTGTAGACCGAATTTATCTGTCTCTAAAATGTTAATGTCAATTTCCATATGTATGAAGCTGTTCATTTAACAGACAGAACGGAGATGTTTATATAGGTGACTAAACACATCCACATGGGTGTGTTGAATTAAACAATTATTTGCTCAATTTACCCTGAAATCATGAATTCATTTCAAAACAAAAAGTTTATTTGCCTCACTAACTGTTTCAGACCTTACAGTTTGCTATTTTAAGCCATTCCAGTCTGCTCTTTCTGTCTGTCTGTCTGTCTGTCTGTCTGTCTGTCTCCATTTTGACTTAGAAATTGAATTGCCTCGCCATTACCAGTTATTCGGTAAACAAAATTTTGGTCATATGGGGAACCACTTCTAATTTCATATACATATATACTGGTCGTTATTGGATTATCCTTATTCGTGACCTCCTGTTTTGGACCAGGTTTTCATGATGTACAGGGGCTAGATCCTGGCAAGAATGAAAAGAGGTCAGTCCCTGGCGTAGAAGATGAGTCTAGCATTGCGAAACAATTGTCCCTTGTCACGCAAAAAATAGTGTTTCCATTAAAGCTAGCGACAAGTAGGGCGCCCTCGTGTCTCCTGTACTAACTACTAGTAATTGTATATATCTTAGCTGGATCGAGTCCTCATAGTAACTGTTCACAGTCTACAAATCGGTCATAATCTAGAATGTACCCGCACCATCTAAATAGCAGCATTACCACGCCATTACAAAAAGTATCTGTGTTTCCGCTTTCTCGACCGACCTTTCTTTTAATATCGACCCTAACATTTTTTCAACATTTTTGCAAAAAAAAAAAAAAAAAAAA